CCAGTATACTACTGTATATACTTTATGAACCAGCCCTGTAGTATACTGGTTAGGCACAGAGTATTGGGAGCTAATCCCACATGACTTATGTGGGTTCAAAGCTGGGCACCATGGCTTGAAAAACATGACATGCATGTGCATGGGTTTGCCCCAAATCCTGACAGGATGAAGAAAAGAAGAAAAAATTATTGCAGTATTATTATACTCCACTGTGGGGTACTTTGTTTTTATGGCAAGTGTATGCAACTTTTGGCTAATAAATGAAAAAAAGTTTTTAAAGTATTGAGAAATGACTGCATTTTTTTAAAAAATATTTTATTGAACTTTATTTTTATTTATTTATTTATTTTAATTTAACCAGACAGAGGGACCAGCAGTTGGCATAATGGTTATGTCGCTGGACTCACATGTAGTCTACCGTGGTTCGCATCCTGGACCTGGTGGCTTGAAACTCACGCTGGGCACATGTGCATGCATGCCCAAGATCCTGAGAGGAGAATAGAGAAGGGATTGCGGCGTGGCCATCCCCCCTGGGGAGTGATTTCTTGCTTTCTGTCTCTCTGTCTCTGTCTGTCTGGCGAGTGCACATACCCTATAGCAAAAAAACCTCTAAAAAAAAAAAAAAAAAGACCTGCCTGGGATCTCAATTTACTTATCTTTGAAATAGGGATAAGAAATATCTACATCCCAGCTTCGGTCAGCCATGTGGGTGTCCAGAGCCCTTAACCACCACACCTCCTGCCAAGCCCAATAACTGTATTTTTTAATAAAGATATACTTTAAAAGCCCAATCACTGTATTTTTTAATAAAGATATACTTTAAAAAAAAAAAAAAGAGTAGCTTTAAGGCAGTAAAATAAACTACCTAAGACATTTCCAAATAATATAGTTTCAAATCTTTGAGTTTAGAGAACAATGTATCAATACATGGAGTTTCATTATTTTTCCTCTGCTTTTACTGACATTTGAATATTTTCATAGTAAAACAGGTTTTTTTATTTTAATTTTGCTATAGAGTATATGCACTCACCAGAGAATGGGGGGGTGGGTAAGAAAGCAAGGAATGGCTATGCCTCAATCCCTTCTCCATTTTCTCTTAAGATTTTGGTCATGCACATGCACACACTCAGCATGTTTTCTAAGCCACAGAACTACACAGTGGGCCGTGAGGAATCTAGCTGCCTTAAGCTCCACATCATCAGGTGGCCCAGTAGAACAGTTTTTAAAATATATACTTCAGAAGGTTAATGCTTCCTATGATCACCAGTAGACAGTCAATGATTGCTGTAATTATATTTCACTTATTAGTGTTTTACTATTGGTGTGCATATACTACATATAATCATAAACCATAATAGTTTCATTCCTTGAATACCAGGTCTTTACAAAATGCTTTGTAATCATTCTCTGCCTTAACAACTTTATGGAGTTACAGGTTTTAACATATCTATTTTATAGATGAGGAAACAACAACTCTGAGATGCAAACAACTTGTTGAAGTTTACAAATTTAATAAATAAATAAGAAATTAAAACTTTAAACCTATGTGTATATGACTCAAAAGTCCATGTTCATAATTTCTATACTATTCTACTTCCTAAAAAGCACAGCTTAATTGTAAAGTTCACTACCATCACTTTGAAACTTATTCTCTTCACTGATAACCATAGCAACACCTAGAGTCAGTCCTTTATCCTCTACGTTCATCATTTGTTCATCCCATCGGTTGCCCTATCTATCAAATGTGGGAAACTTTGATTTAAACCAGTTGGACCAAAATAATTTGAACCATTTAGACTAAACCATTTATGAGTTCACATAAATTTTGTAAATGGATGCTACAAAGGCAAAACTGACTCAGATCCTGTTAAAATTACTATAAATTATTAGGACCTAAGGACTAGCTTTTTTTTTTAATCAAAATTGAAGGAATAGAACCACTTTAAGGAAGAGGCAGTGTACTGACAGCATACTAAGGTGAATACAAATACCATATACAATGTAGGAACATCGTTTAGATATACTTAGTTAATATTTATTGAGTTGAAATTCAAGACACTGCAAATATACAAGTTAAAAAAGAGTATTCCTTCTCTGAAAGTTTACAGTCTAATGGCAACACAGACTTGAAAAGAATTACTTCATTATATAATCAAAACTACACCGATACCATGAACAAAGTGGCACCAGAGAGCTGTTTTGCAAGTCAAGGAGGCATCACAAGGCACAGAGAGTAGAATTAAGATCCACAGGTTGGGCCTAGCCTCTGGCCCAGTTAGTAGTATAATGAACTGCAGCGTTGGAAGCCACATGGCTGACTGCAGTTCAGATTCCTAGTTGGTGAACCTGAAACAGAAAGTATCCTCGGGCACCCAAGATCCTGATGAGCTGGGGGATAGGGGAAGGGGATGGTGGCATAGCAGAACTGCTGAGAGTCCTCACTCTTTCTCTCTCTTTCCCGCTCTCCTGCATGCCCTATCATGAATAAAATAAAATAAACTTTCTAAAGACCCACAGAATGATTAAAATCATGTAGTGTTTAGCAGGTCAATATAAAAAACATCTAATTATTACTAAACATTCAAAACCCTATTTTTGGAAACAATGTAGTGAATTCTTTGAAAAATTAAACATGTAATTACCATATGATGCAGCAATTTCACTTCTGGGTATACACCCAGAGGAATTGAAAACAGAAACTAGGACATTTGTACACCCATGTTCATAGAAGCATTGTTATTATTTTTAAATATTGCCAGAGAACACATGCATTTGCTAGAGACAGAGAGAAAGAGAGAGAAGGAAATTGAAAAAACATCCCTATGGGGAATGGTTATGGCACAATCCCTCTTCTCCACTTCTCCATTCTTTTGGTATTTTGGTCAAACATGCACATGTGCTGGAGATTTTTCAAGCCACCAGGTCCAGGACTTAAACTGAACAGTTGGCCATGTAGGATCCAGCAACCTTAACCACCACTCTATAGGTTGACTCAAGCAGCATTATTTACCATAGCCAAAAGGTGGAGACAACTCAATTGTCCACCCATACATGAATAGATAAGCAAAACATAACATATGCATGCAACTGAATAGTATCCAGTCTTAAAAAGGAATTCTGACATATGCTACACTAGGCATGAACCTTAAAAACATTATAATAAGTTTGAAAAATCACAAAATAGGGGCCAGCAGTTGGCATAATGGCTGTATCGCTGGACTCCCATATAGTCGACTGTAGTTTGAGTCCCGGACTTGGTGGCTTAAACTCACGCTGGGCACGTGCATGCATGCCCAAGATCCCAAGAGGAGAATGGAGGAGAAGGGATTGTGGTGTGGCCATCCCCCGAGGAGTTGATTTCTCGCTTTCTGTCTCTCTGTTTCCCTCTGGCGAGTGTATTGCCCTGTAGCAAAAACCTCTCAAAAAAAAAAAAAATTACGAAATAGTCACAAAAGGGCAAATAGCTTATGATTCAACTTAAATGAGGTGCATAAAGTAGTCAAACTATTGATACAGAAAGTAGCATGCTGGTTACCAGGGAAGAAAAAAAAATATTTCGGATATTTAGAAATTTATAGAAATTTCTAAAACAGGGGCTGCAAAGGAAGTTAGGGAGTTAGTTTTCAGTAGATACAGAGTTTTAGGTGGGGAAGGTGAAAAAAGTGCCAGAGATAGATGGTAGTGACGGTGGTGCAACAATGTGAAAGTACTTAATGCCACTGAGAACCAGCAGGTGGCATGGTGGTTAAGGTACTGGGTACTCCCACTTGACTGACCGCGGTTTGAGTCCTGGACCTGGTGGCTTGCTTTCTCACTCTCTCTTTCTCCCTCTCTCTCTGTGTATGTGTCTCTCTCCGGTCAAATTAAAATAAATAAATGAATAAATAAAATAAGATAATTATTTTTTTAAAAAGGAAGTACTTAGTGCCATGAACTGCTCACTTAAAAATAGTCAAAATGGGGGACCCAGCAGTTGGCATAATGGCTATGTCGCTGGACTTCCATGCTTGACCACAGTTTGAGTCCTGGACCCGGTGGCTTAAACTTGCACCGGGCACATGTGTGTGCATGCCCAAGATCCTGAAAGGAGAACGGAGAATGGATTGCAGCATGGCCATCCCCCCTGTGGGGAGGGGTGATTTCTCGCTTTCTGTCTCTCTCGGTCTTCCTGTCAAGCGCACACACCCTATAGCAAAAACCTCTCCCCCCAAAAAACAAATCATTACAATAGTAAATTTTATGCTATGTGTATTTTACCACAATAAAAACACTAATTTTTCCTAAATAGACGTGACACTCATTTTTTACATTTAAATCATGCTTAATATAAAATACTGGTATAGGGTGTATAAAGGACTAAAATCTCAATGTGGAGTGGATTGATTAGAAAAAACTAATGGATGAACAACTATTTGTTGAGTACCTTCTGGATTAACAAGCTCCAAATTATTATGTTAGTTTAAGCATATTCACCTGGATATAAAAATGCAGTATGAAAAACTGCCATTTCCTTCCCAAAAGTCAGAAGTTACCAAGGCCAACCTTTTTTCAGTTATTTGAAATAAAAGAGGGTCAAAATTCATTTCCAAATGGAAAAAAAAGTGAATTTTTCATTGTTTGTGGTTCAAAAAAAGTAACAAAGTGTCATCTTTGGATTAATTACAAGGGATAAAAATTTATGTTTTGAAAAGTAATATTTTCAAAAAGTCTGAGGTGACCAAACATAGTATGAAATAACCAAAAAATGTAATCACAACTGATATATAAAAAGAGTAATAACAGCAATCACGGTTCACTTAGTTCAAACAAGTTCAGCAG